GACCGTTTCGTCGCCGGGCTGTGAACCGGAGCTTGCCTCAGCTCACACATCTGCAACTCAATCTATCTCTCGGCCTGGCGGCCCTCTTATAACTCCAGCAAGGTCCCGCATCTGCGCGGACAAAACTGTCTGATGTCTCTCTTTGCATAGATATCGGACATCTGAGCCTGCTCCGAAGCGAACTCAGGGCAAAACATCTCCCTCTCAGTAAACATCCTGGTGATTTCCGTCACCGACTCCGAATCCTATTTCAGCTCCAAGAACTCCTGAGCCAACCTCTCCCTCTCGACCTGCGGAACATATCAAGTGTTGAACATCTCTCTGAATTGATCCCATGAAATCACAACCCTCTACGCATCCGAGTACGACCCCGTGGTCAATCTCCACCAATCCTTTGCCCCGAGCCTTAACAGGTTCAGAGCGCACCTCACCCTCTGATCAGCAGGGCATGAACACGTGAAGAAACATCCCTCCACATCTGATAACCATCTCATAGCAACGATCGGGTCCTGAAATCCATCAAAGGTGGGAGGCTTCGTATTATCGAAGTCCCGATACTGAAAACCTCTACTAGCTCCTCCCCCTGTCGCTGCTACAGCTGCTGTAGCCGCCGCGGCAGCCGTCTCTGTGAGAGCCGCATAGCGCTCATCAAAATACTCCACCATGGCGGTCTTGATCGACCCAAACAACTCCGGCAGCTCAGCCCGAAACAATGCAGCAACCTCATCATGCAGGATCTCACGAATCCTCGCATCCTACTCGTGCGTACTCATCTGACTGACAACCTCGGGCTGTACAGACCCACCCGGAACTCCCTCTCCTGCTCCTGATCCTGACCTGGATCCACTCCCAGCGTGTCCTGAGGTCTCCATACTGAAAATAAACCACCAGAAATCTCAGACACTTCCCACTATCCCGGAACCAGCTCCCAACCCAACCCTAGAGGTCATGGTTTCCCCGATACGCGTATGGGTCCTGTGCTTTCAGTAGTACGGGCCCATACTACCTTCCACACCTACCCATATTTATATGAAGTACTTCCACAACACCCTAGAGACAAATATACATAACAACGCTCTATCCTCACAACTAGAGGAACACTAGAAATCTCTCACAAGAAAACCCTAGGCTAGCAGGCGTCATAAATCAGGCAACACATCAAGAAATCCTGAAGATCCCTAGCCTAACTCTAGCATGTTGTTCTATCAAAGCTCAATAAAACAATTGTCATGTATGGTATTTTGGGGTTACTTACTGGCTCCGGCTGATCGAACCTCCGCATCCTCCTTTACTTATTTTGAAAACCATTTTAAATTCTCTTTTGAAAACCCTCCTCGATTTGAGACTGGAGTCACACAAGTGTTCCTCCAATTCACTCAAACCAAGGCTCTGATACCAACTTGTAACGACCAAAAAATACAACCAATTTAAATTTTTCAAAAACAACCCGATTTCATTAAATTGTTTACAAAAAGGTTTTCAATACAAATCATTTAGAGTATTCCCAGAATCACATTGCTACAAAATCATGAGGAGCGGTACGATCACGCCTTCGCCTTGCCACAGTCTCCTGTAGAACTTGAAAAAAAACATTAAACCACAACTGTAAGCCCGAAAGCTTAGTGAGATACCCCCAAAATGCCAACCACATATACGCCCTTCCAGGCTACGACCTTCCGGTCCGAAACATATTGCCTTCCGGCCCATAACATATAAAACATACATAACATAATAGAACATAGAACAACCATGCATATCGGGTCTACTGTGTGACTGGTCCGCCGTATCGGCCTTCAGTCCACCGGATCCATCCTCCGAGTCTAGTCATGTCCTTCGAGTCTACAGTGTGGTTGGTCCGCCCGCACTGGGCCTTCAACTCACCTGGTCCACTATCTGAGTCTACAGTATGACTGGTCCACCCGCATCGGGCCTTCAGTCGGCCTGGTCCACTCGTTGGGCCTTCGGAACAACCGATCCGCCCTGAGTATCTTGGCCTATAGCACAAAGCAGGACCGCCTCAACTCATCTCTAGTCCAAACAACCATGTACACATAAACATTTAATCATATAACAGTTCACATTCAAACAAGCCGATCTAGCAGATCACATAGCATAACATACTCTAAGCAGGATACCGACCTAACAAGTCATTAGCATAACATCTACCTATCTCTCAGGATACTGATCTCAATCAGGTCTCTAACATATACCGTCCAAACTCTCAGGATGCAAGCATATCACAACAACAAAGTAATAACAACTACCCGGATCTCAATCCGATAAGGGCCGGCCTTGGTGCCTTAGACCCTGTTGATATAGTGAAGATAACTCACCTCGAAACTGCCAGCTGAAAGGATAAGATCCCGCTGTTCCAACTCTGACACGAAGTCTTCCACTGAACACCAAAACATTCAATTCAATAAATACCCTTAATTACCAAAATACCCCTGGAGGACAACTGGTCAACCTTGGACAAAGTCAAAGTCAACCCCTGACTGACCCTACTCGCCGAGTCAACCCGATGACTCACCGAGTCCCTAAGCTCAGAACATCCCTCCATTAGCGACCCAACTCGCCGAGTCACACCAATACTCGTCGAGTCCAACAACTATGAGTCCACTCGCACCCAACTCACCGAGTCATCCCTTGACTCACCGATTCTCGACTCAACTAGGAAATATTGGGACTCTTCGACAAGACTCGCCGAGTCCAAGAACAGACTCGCCGAGTCTAAGGCTATCTTCAACCTACTCGCCGAGTTGTTCCTCCAACTCGCCGAGTTCCAGGCCATCTTCAAGCAACTCGTCGAGTCCACCCATGTGACTGGCCGAGTATCACCGATCTGAATCAATTCAGAAGCACTCCAGGCCATGTAATTGATCCAAAACATAGATCCAACCTCCTACAATCCATCCATCACGTAAAGTGGCAAACTTTACGTGAATCTAAAGAGATCTAGGCCTTATTCACCTTAGAACTAAGGTTTGGGACATGATAGCTCCATTAACAACACAAGAACAGGGGCTTTAATGCTCTTAAGATCTTCTCCACTCCAGATCTGAGGTAGCAACCTCAGATCCATCCTTCAAACTCAAGATGTCACACAACTAAGCTTCCCACACAACCCCAAAATGAGAATCTAGGAGAACACAAACCCAAGAACGAAAGTATTACCTCCAAAGAATGCCCCCAACAGCAATGAAACTCGAATCCAAGCAAAGCCCTTTGATCCAAGCCTCTTCTCCTTCAAGATTTCTTCAACAAGCACCTCTCCAAGCTCCAATTTTCTCAACAATGGGGTTCCTCCACGAAATTAGGGTTTCTGGGACTCAAGGGGGATCAAGGAGGCTGTGGAGGAAACATAATGGTCTTTATATAGGGCTCATTCCCCGAATTTAGGGTTTTCTTCGCCCAACACCTACTCGCCGAGTCCATCTTTGGACTCGTTGAGTAGGTCGATTGACACACGACCACAGTCGCGACTCTACTCGCCGAGTCGCCCTTCAAGATTTACACTTTTAGCCCTTCAACTCTATTCTTGCTATTCCGGGATGTTACAATGTAACATCCATAAAAATTCACAAAAATTTAAATTGTTCAAAATCAACCCAAGTTCATAATTTTTTTGCAAAATCATCCAAAACCAGTAATGTTTACAAATTGTTTTCAAAATAAATCAATATCAGAGTTTTCCCAGAAATCACAATCATAAAACTAGGAAGTGTACGGTAATGCCTTCACCTTCCCGCAGTCATCCGAAAGTACCTGAAACAAAATCCAAAACTGTAAGCCCGATGCTTAGTGGGTTCCCCCAAAATCCCCGCACAACAAATAACACACATATAATAACATACTACAGGCCCAATCAACCATCAAGTTGGAATATCAACATACTATGGGCCCAGTCATCCTCGATATGGTATACCCTCGGCCCACAACCAACGGGTTGGAATGCCCACATACTATGAGTCCAATCATCCTCGGGATGGAATACTCTCGGCCCACAACCATCACGTTGGAATGTCCCGGTCAGTTGGATCTCACACAAAGCAGATAAGCCTCAACAACCAATCAATCATGTGCACATATATCAGATAATTATATAATAGTCGACAAACAGACAGACCGATCTATAGATCACTAAGCATAGCAACATCTTATCTACGAGGATACCAATTTAACTGATCATAACCACATAGAACCATCTGATCTACTAGGATACCGATCTAACATATCACACTAATAATAAAGCAAGATACAATCCAAAGGGTCGACCTTAGTGCCTTCAACCCTTGAGCATAGTGAGGATAACTCACCTCGCAATGTCTGTCGTAACTGAAATATCAAACTCTCGAAACACAGCTCCAAACACCAACACCTAAAAACACCATTGTTCCACTTCCATAAAATCCCAAATTACCAAAATACCCTTAGAAGTCAACTTGGTCAACCCTTGGTCAAATTCAAAGTCAATGGTCAAGGTCAACAGTCCATGTTGACCTAACTCGTTGAGTGCAGCTTACAAACTCGTCGAGTTCCTTTAGAACTCAGAAAGTCATGAAAAGCCCAGTCAACTCGCAAAGTTACCAAGTAACTCGTCGAGTCCATGCAGCATCTAGAATATTGGGAAAACCTTAACTAACTCGTCGAGTTATCACTACTAGAAAATAGGCCTTTAATGACGCGCAATTTATGACACGCACGGATTTACTATACGCAAAAGCGTGTGACGTAAAAATAATGTCATCTCTTCAAAATTTTGAAGGATTTCGGACGCGCATTTTTGCGCGCCCTAAAATTTGTGTTAGAATACAAACACGGAGGGCGCTTATTATAAAATGTGTGTCATCTAAGCATGTCGCTTTATAATTTTTTGACGCAACACGCGTTTTTAATTGGGGTTGGGGGGAATGGAATTCCCAAAAATTAAAACCCCGCCTATTCGATCCAAACTCAGTCTCCCTTGTTCCCTCAGCTGATGCCTCCACCTTCTGCTGTCTATGCTAATCTTTGAATTAGCAAGAAAGAAGCCATATGGCCTTCGTCTTCACCCACCTCCAGCACCGCCAACCCTTCTTCAATCATCCATCACAATTCAGGCTTTCTCTACAAGAAAACCTACAACTACATCCTCCACATTCAGAAAAACCCTAATCGGCAGCCACATTTTGACGTCAGGTACCCTTGGGATGAAAGCCTAATTGGTGGCCACATTTCTACGTCGGGGTCCCCTAGGGCTTTTCTGTTAGGGCCGATTGATCATATTTAGTTCATACATCCCCTCTAACCAAACCCTTAGCAACCTAAAACAACCTTAATCTTCTGTTCGTTCGTCTTGGATGCTAGAAAAAAAGTTGTTCAAGTTTTTGTATGAGTTTGTCGGATTTTTGAGTCACCGTCGAGGGAGGAGGAGGAAGGGGACCTCGGGAAAAACTTTGCTCCAGCCTAAGGTATCGATGCATATTCTTTTCTTCTCGTTCTTTTATGTTTTCCCCGCCAAGCACCACCTAAAACCATGATCGCAGCCCTAGGCTTCTGGGGTTTTTCTCTGCCACCATCCATCACCATTAGGTGGTTATGGTTGTATGTGTGGGTGTTCTAATGTATATGGTATTCAGATTCATATTCCAAGTCATTAGTCTATAAATCGTATGTGTTGACTTCAAGATCTGTTTCTCCAATGTTGTTTGTACGCATATATATATATATATATATATATATATATATATATATATATATATATATATATATATATCTTCCTGACTGAGAGTGAGAGATCAGGGCATACAATTGTTTTGCAGTAAATCTTGCTTCTGAAAGGTTTCTGAGAGGAGCCGCAATCTCATCGACAATTGTCATCAATACCTCCATGCAATCTGCAACTCATTTTCAAATCACGGTCAGTCTTTCTATTCATTACAAATTGGCAACAAAAAAAACAGTTACTTCATATAATTTTCAATGGTATCACATTTTCTTCTTGTTAGCTAGGCCTAATGTAGATAATATTGTGTATTTGCATTATCCAGCCCTATGTATCTCAGCCTAGTCTTAGATATTTTATTAACCTAGGCTAGCCCATTGTATTATTTATATGTTATTCTATGAGATTATTAGTAAAACTTTTATGGGAAAATATCACAGTTACATGGTATCAAAACTAAAACAATACTCCTCTCTTGTCTCTAAAATTCAAACACATTCTTCTCACAGAATCTAAGGAAATAGCAAGCAATTAATACTTAATTAATTTGAAAAGGATAAGACCTGATTCGAGAGGGGTTGAGTCTCCAATTACAGAACTGAGCCTGAGTGATAAAAACAGAACGAATGAAAACAAACTGCAAAGCCCTCTGAAAACTAGTTAGCTAAACACAGTTAATCAACTGATCCTAAGAATTAGCTCAGAAACCGCTTCTGTTTTCCCACAACAAGGGAGCTGGAGGGTAATTTAGTAATTTACTGATATTGCAGGATTTTTCAGTAGTAATAGTACTATGTCAATGGTGGCAACATTTTTGTGGTCTGGTGTTCCTAGTAGTATATATAGTTGTTAGAAGGTAGAGAAAGGTAATCAAATATTTTGTAGAAAGTTCATTGTGAACCTAGAGAGCTCTCCCTCTCAAATGTGTGATACTTACAACAATTATTTGGTGTTTAATTGTTGGTTATTAGTATCCTTCTTGAGTGACTATGTCTTTTAAATCTGTTAGTTCATATCATATAATGGAGGGTCTATAAAAAAAGTGCATCAAATGTCACTCCTAACTTTAAGATCTTGGGGATTACCATACTCACACTTTCTTTGGCTTTATCCTTTATGTTTAATAGCTCAAGTGTTTGCAAAATTTCTCCATTTTATGCCTATATAAAAAAATCAATTCCAATGAGACAATCAAGATTTTCAATGTAACAACCGATGTGAATTTGACCAATACTTCACCAAAATGACCAAAATGACCACATTTAATGTGATAATTGTCGACATTTGTCCCATTAATTTAATTAATTTTATTTATTTTCAGATAAGACAAAGCGACCAATTCGCTATTAACAAATTAGTTACCAGTTTAACAAGGGGTAACTCCATATCATCCTATGATGCATGATACTGATGGTATTATACATATCCCATATTCCATTAAATTTAAATTAATTATTAATTCGTTATGTAAACTAATTAAGGTGTTGTTGACTTGTCGTAGGATCTTTATCTCCTATTGGGGGCCCTAGTAGTTTCCTTGAAGGAGATGATAACAGCAACATCAGACTGAATGCTAAAGCAATTCCCTCAGCACTGAATGAGATGTCATCTTCTAGTAGCAACAATAACACCCATTTTGGATGGACATCTTCAGATGATGAAGATGAAGAAGATGCCATGGATCGTGATCTAGGTTCTTCATACTTCCTTCATCTTCACCCTTTTGCTTTTCTTTTATTCAAAAAAAAATTAAACTCATGATATGATGAGGGTTCAGATGATGGAGGTGGGAAGAGTGCAAGAAGCTATAGGAAGAAAAGAAAGGCGCAGTATGATGAATATCGCAAAGTGAAAGAGTTACAGAAGAAGAAATCAGTGAAAAAGGATGATGAAAAGCAATCCATTGTTGATGGTGTGGGAGATATAAATATCATTATGCACTCCAAAAGATGAAGCTACTAACAGCTCTGTGTTTCCCTTATGTGTTGGCACGAGGGGTATTTCCGGTATTTGGTTACCCGTTGGTGGTGAACTCGGCTGTTTACAGGTTTGCGTGGGTGGGGTGTTTAAGTTTTAGTATGGTAATCGGTAAAAGGTAAAAGGTAAAATTGAGTCGGCATCATATCATATCATATTATCATATATTGATATGTTATCTTATATTAGTGGCTGTTTGATTAATGTTTGTTGACACAAATATATGAAATGTGTTACATTATCAGATGAGATGCGTATTCTAATAATCTTTAATGTTTTCTATATTATTCATATGCTAATAATCTTTAATGTTTTCTATATTTGCAGCATTAATCCATTTAGGTTTATTGGAGTTGGATTATCTGTTTGGACTTTTGCAGCATCTGGATGTGGGATTTCAATTGACTTTTGGTCAATCACTATCTGCAGAATGTGAGTTGACTATTTCAATTTTCAAAGACACATTTGACTTTTTAATGGTCAAACATATCTACTTTTTAAGCCTCGAGATTTATGTATATTTCAAGTTCTTTACATACAAGTTGTTACCCTTTACCCTATTTTAAATGTTTTATGTTCTGCCTTTTGTTTACATTTGATAATAAGCCTGTGATACATACGAGTTGATTTAGTTCTTCAAGTGTTAGTGAATCTATTTGTCACTAAATCTTTTAAATGATTTAACAACAGAGTGCATACATATATGATGGAGCTTCAAGTAGTTAACCTGTCTAATTCCAAAAATGGAAGCTGCCAGTGTCAAGGGAAAATAAGGCTCGATGCGTCTTTAAAAATTCATGGTATAAATGCTTACCTTGATGACCCTCCTGGCCTTCAACACTCCCAGATTATAACATTAAAATCAATAACAGTTCAACTTTTAACACTAAGGTATGACACGCTTCACTCTTATGTCAATTTTTGGTGTCATTGTGCCTTATTTTTATTTACTTTACTTTCTATTGTATGACAGGAAGGATAAATGGTCTCTTGGGAAAAGTGTAAGTTCTTTCTCTACACTCCTGCATGGCAATGCTTCAGGGTTCTCAGGTCTAATATTTATTGACGAATTGTCTGGAAAAACAATGTAGGGAACACCTGGATACCTACTTTCAAGTCCCAACTGCCACAAAGGAACACCAACGAAGATTAGGAGTCGAGACTAAAAAGAATCATCCACTGACTATTTACTCATTCACTCTCCAAAGGGAAAGCTCTCATTAAGACGCATTGACCAGATTTACGTTGTTGGTCAACAAGTTTGACCTATAACTTTCCTTCGTTTTTTTCCATCTGTATATTTATTTAAAATGTGTAATGTAAATAGGGGCCTCACATGGAGGTGATGTCCCCTGTATCAAAAGGTGTTCATATGTATAATATGAATAGGCTTCTGGTGTTCATGTATCGTGAGTTTCGTGCTCTTCAAAAACGTGGCTTGACATCTGCCATTCGTGCCAATGAGTAATATGAATAGTTTGCAAATGTAGCTGAAGTTTCTTTAAGAAAGAGGTTAAATTTATTCAATATATTAATAGTTTATGTCACAAATTTTCACCTAACATACTTAAAAGGAACTTTCTGCACTGCAATTAAAGAAGGAAAAACCAATCACTATATAGATACGAAAATTGGGAACGTATGTCAAGTTGTAAGATTTGTTTTTAAAACATTATACATAAATATCGTTGGTATTTTCTCTATATTTATTTCTTGCTTTCTGAAAAATAGTCAAGTAGATCTATTTGTGTGTCTATAATAGGCCCCGACCCCAACACAGGAGCCATATATAGGCGATTAGTCTAATCATGTTCAGAATCTTGGGGACTTTATCATAACTTAGCAACAAAGAAAAATGGGTATAATAGTTAATAAACTAGAAGTATATCACAAGATGTTCATCATATATACAATAAATCTTGAAAACGTCACCCAGCAAAGCAAACTATAGACGAAGCTTTGCTTTCATCAAAATAAACCTTCTTTTTCTGGGCATAAAAATGTATCAACATTCTGAATAAACCCTTTTCTTGATCCAGAAATAACCATAAACCCTAATTTTCTTGCTCTCCAACAGTAACAGGAGCCACGAAAGAATATTGGAAATTAGTAATAGGGTTATGAACACTAGTAGGAGGGCAGACATTTTGTGCTTGGTAAGAGTTCTGGCCACTTTGTGGATCCATTTCTTGACCATGAGTTTTTGTATATACACAGATTCGACCAGATCGTCAAACCTTGTATTGGAGTGCTACATGGCCAAAGGAAGTCGAACAACTTGCAAGGCAATTTCTTTACAACCCATACAAAGTAACTACTTTTTTTCTATTTTCACCATATGTTCATATTTAATCCTTTTTTTTTGGACATTTGAAATTTGGACAGGTGGTGATTGGTTCACAAGACTTAAAAGCTAACCATTCGATTCAGCAACATGTGGATATGGTTACTCAGAATCAAAAGTACAACAAGTAAGCATGCCGTTTTTATAGATGATTTTTTATTTTCAACTTTTTAGACGCTTTAAATAATCAAATTTGATAATTTTGTTTCAGATTGGTGAAACTGTTGGATGACATCATGGATGGGAGTAGAATTCTAATTTTTATGGGCACGAAAAAAGGGTGTGACCAAATCACCCGCCATCTCAGAATGGACAGGTGGCCCGCATTATTAATCCATGGAGATAAAAGTCAAGCAGAAAGAGATTGGGTTTTATCCGAATTCAAAGCTGGTAAAACTCCAATAATTACAGCTATAGATGTTGCAGATCGTGGGTACGTTTAATTTCTCAACTAATAATTATATATTTAATGATTCATATTGTTGATTGTTTAATATTTATAAAAATGAAAATGAAAATGCAGATGTGAAGGATGTGAAATATGTGATAAATTATGATTTCCCGGGTTCCTTGGAAGATGATGTTCATAGGATTGGGAGAACAAGAAGAGTTGGGGCTAAATGGACAACATACACTCTCTTTACAACAACAAATGCTTGGTTTACTAAAGAACTTATTGCCATACTTCAGGAGGCCGGTCAGAAAGTCAACCCTGATTTAGCGGCAATGGGGTGGGTTGTACCTCCTCCACCCTCAGGTTCATTTGTTCGGGTTTGATTTTTCCAAAAAAATGAAAGATTTGCCCTTTGGTTTTGTTATTGAAGCTTTGATGTTTGATTTTATAGGTCATGGGGTTTCGTGACGGATGAGAAGGGTGTGACGGATGTATTGCAGGATAAGTTGGATAAGGAACTAAAGTTTACAGGTATCAAAGTCCTTGGATGCTTTTTTTTTTAAAATTTTTTTTAAGAATTTTGAATTTGGTTTCCTTCCTCTGAACTTTCTTCTGCAGCTTACTCCATGTGGTGGTGGACAATACTAAGACAACTTGTAATGTTGATGATAGCCAAAGCTGAACCCCAACACAGTGAGGAACACTTCCTTTTTCAATAATTAAATTGTTATAAAATATAAGTATAAATTATATTTATGTACACGATGTATATCGAATAGGTACTTTGATGGAACTTGTTCGAGTTCTTGCTCTATCATTTTCAAATGATGGAAAACGTGTTAAGGTATGCTTATCATGGTTCTGATGGTATTGAAATTGGAGATTCCATTCCATGGCATGTTTGATTGGCAAATGGATGGAATTAAATTATATCAGATTCCTTAAAATTCCATGTTTGATGGGATTCACCATTCAATTCTATTCTTCCTTTTTTGTTAAATTTCATTCCATTTCCTTCCAATTAAAGGCATGACAGATTATCATTCTTCCAATTCCAACGACTAAACCGTAATTGTCAAATTTAGTTATTGTATATACAACAAAAAAATATTTGAATATAAATAAAAGTTTGAAATTTATTTAGGTTTTTGTTCAAGGATCCATGGGAGAAGGAGCACTTGCATGAATGTCATTACAGCTTGCAGGAACAAGAAAGATTTTGGAGTACATGGACCGGGGTAATGATGGAGCCATGGGGACCTGCATAAACATTGGTGCTATAGGTACTCTTTTGCAAAATAAATAATGTTTGATTTCTTTATTGTATTGCATTTTAGATCCCAAATTGGTATGGCATTTTGGATCCCCTTCAAAGCAAGGTGTCTCAAGGTAACATAACATATCTATTTATTGTTGGAGTCTTTATATATTAAGTACATGCAATCAGAATATTGACATTGTTATATGTAGTGTGTATTTAAATAGTGACTTTAATGATCTTGTAGGACCTAGATGCATTCACTGCAGCTATTGTTGTGAGTATTGCCTTCTCTTTCATTACTGCTACGTTAACTGTTGCTATTATGAAGGTAGGCCACTGTCCTGTTGTATTTTTGACATAATTGACAAGGAGCTGTTGCATCTATTCAGACTAGGCTTAGAGCAATGGTTGCAAGAGATGAGTTCAGAAGAAGAAGAAACAAGGCTGAAACTATAGTGCATGTACTATGGATGAATTATGTTTGTAAAGTATTTAAGAAAATGATTAGAAACAAGGGTGAATTTGTATAGATTAGTTAGCTACTTGCAGGTTGATCTTGAATAAGCAAAGGGGCAATGGATTGTATTTTTTGTATCTAATTCGTTTGTAAATTTTTGTTACAACTTCCATTGATTTGTTTTATCTTTCCTTGGAACTATTATTTGTATGACATTAAATTTAAGCAATCGATTCTATTTTTTGTATATGATATTTTATTTTCTAGGGAAATCTCCAATAAAGTTCTAAAATTTTGGTCCGGTTTACGTTTTAGTCATAAACTAATTTTTGTTTACGAAAAAGTCCTAAAAACCGGCAAAAGTATGCATTTTGACCACTTTTGACCGGTTTGAACCGGCAACAAATTAATTTGGGACTATTTCATAAACTAACCTAAAATATTGGGACTATTTCACAAAATGATCTAAAATATTGGGATTTTTTCTGCAAAAAAAAAATATTAGGATTTTTCTGCAAACAAAAACCTTATTATTATTATTATTATTATTATTATTATTATTATTATTATTATTATTATTATTATTATTATTAACAGGTATACTAATTTTTAAATTCATTATTATTAATATTTTTAATAATACATATAAATACACTTAAATAAAAATATATTAAAGAAATTATTTAAAGGTGAAGGTGGTGGTGATGGTAATGCTTTAAGCATTGAAATCACTGTTTGTATGTCATTACTTTGTATATGATTATTTCACATTTCTTATTATTGTTTTCAATTCAAAATAGTATCACTTAACAATTTAAAAAAAAAGTTGCCTATTTATAAAATTATGTATAAATAGTTTAAGATAAAATGATTTCTCACTTTGTATATAAATTTCTTAAGGTAGAATGATTTCTTTTCAAATCCAACAGATCTACAATAAATATTTACATTGGTGGCCCATATCAAAATTCGAAAATATTAATTAAAATATCTTATTTAATAGAAAGTAATATGATTTATTTTGCTTTATCACACTATATCTGCTATGTTTCCAAAAAAACCACAAGGATAAAGTAATGAAAAAGAGCAACACATGTTGGTAATTCAAAAATACTTACACACAAGACATACACGCATATCACATGCTCACTATTTGTAAACAATTTGAAAAATCAGTAGCTTCTTTTAAATTGTTAAATGTTAATATTCTGAATTAAAAACAATAATAACAAATGTGAAATGACCATATACAAAGTTAGAATATACAAACAGACATTCATGATTACAAAGCTTAAAGCATTACCATCCTCTCAACCTTCACCTTTATAAAATGTCTTTAATATGTTTTCAATTTAAATGTATTTATATGTATTATTAATAATATTAATAATAACAAATTTAAAAAATAGTATACTTATTTATATTTTTAATATAATAATAATAAGGTTTTTGTTTGTAGAAAAACCCTAATATTTTTTGTTTTTGCAGAAAAGTCTCAATATTTTGGGTCAATTTATGAAATAGTCTTAAATTAATTTGTTACCAGTTCCAACCAGTTAAAAAGGGTCAAAATGCAAACTTTTGCCGGTTTTTGGGACTTTTTCGTAAACAAAAATTAGTTTAGGACTAAAACATAAATCGGGCTAAAATTTTAGGACTTTATTGGAGATTTCCCTATTTTCTATTATGAAACATTAAATACAAATTTAATTTGAAAATAAGTAAATCTATAAATAATTTTTTTTTTAAATATTTAAAATTATGATACGCAAAAATGTGTGTCATCTTCATTTATGACATGGCCTTTCTTGACATGGTCTTTTTTGATACGCATTGCGTGTCATTAACACACGCATCGTAAGGTTACGACACGCGAATGAGTGTCGTCTTCCTTTATGACAGGGCCTTCCTTGATACGCATTGCGTGTCGTAAACGCATGTCGTAAATGAGCGTCGTAAATGCGCGTCGTCTATAGACGACGTGCAAATACACGTCGTCTCTCTTTATGACAGGGCCTTCCTTGACGCGCATTTGCGCTTCGTCTGAGCCTTTTACGACGCTCAATGAGTGTCGTAAAGGTTGTTTTTCAAGTAGTGTATCTCGTTATTTCATAGAGTTCATGCAAAATCCAGAAGAAGGAAATATTCATCCAACTCGTCGAGTTGACTATGCAACTCATCGAGTTCCTTCAGTACTTTTCTCAGTTAGAAGTTTCTAAGTGAAGTCAAGACTCCAAACTGTAGATCTAAATTCCTAGGATGTAGTTATCACGTAAAGTTGCTAATTTTACGTGCATGCAAGGCTTGAAGAAGCCAAAACACTCAAAACTAGCCTTAGGAAGAGTTTTAGGGTAAGGAGAAGGGCTAAAGCTTCATAAAGCTTGAGGCTTTATGTCAAAGAGGGCCTAGAGGGGTCTAGATCTAAAGTTACAACTTCAAATCATGCTCAAAATCAGGAATGCTTCAAAGATAAGCTAGAAATCGCCCCAAACTCTTGGATGAATAGATCTAGTAAGAGAATGATCAAGGTAATGACTTTTTACCTTCAAAATGATGCCAAAATGATGTAGATGTTGGATCTACAAGCCTCTTCTCGTTCCAAGCTCCTAGTTCTTCAAACCTCTTCAAGGAATACACCAAAAACACACTTTTAGCCTTACATACACTCAAAATAGGGTTAGATCGATTAGGGTTTGATTTTGGACGTGAAATGGTGGTAAAGAGTCTGGAAGGAAGGACTTAAGGTCCTTTAAATAGGGTGTAAACCCTAAAAATTAGGGTTTTCATAAAAAACCTCTACTCGTCGAATTGGGGTCCTCCAACTCATCAAGTAGGTTCCATAAACCATGCGGCTGATAAGTTGTACTAAAAATGCAACCGCGTGCCTACATCCTCATGGAACTTCTACCAGAAACGGGACGTGAACCTAACTTCACATTCAGAAAGAATAGAGACCGAAACTCCATGGCGAGTAATGATCTCATGGACATACACGTCGGCCTGCTTCTAGGCCAAGGAGCTCTCCTAAATGGGCAAGAATGGGCACTCTTGGTCAATCGATCCATGATGACCCATATAACATCAAATTCCTTCGCCATCCTCGACAACTTGGTAATGAAGCCCATCGTGATCTGTTCCTATTTCTACATGGAAATCTCTAGAGGCTAGAGCTTGCCATGTGGCCTCTGATGCTCGGCCTTGACCATCCTGTAGGTCAAGCCTCTCTCGACATACCAAACGATTTCCCCCTGCATTCACGACCACCAATAACTCTTACTCAAATCCTTGTACATCTTTGTGGCCCCCGTGTAAATAGAGAAGTGAGACTTATGAGCCTCCTCCATACCCATATGTCTGACCCCGCCAAATATCAGAACCCATACCCGACCGCAACGGGTCAACAATCCCCGACTATCCTGTACGAAGCTGGTGATCTTGCCTCTAATCCTCTCCAACTTCTAGTTCTACTGTCGTTCACCCTCAGCCCGGGCCTCCCTAATCAAGCCCACAAGTGGAGAATCCACTGATATACTCATACATGTTGTTGGTATAGAAGATCCAGCTGACTTGTGGCTCAGGGCATCCGCAACCATATTTGCATTACTCGGGTGGTAAAAGATCTTACAGTCATAGTCCTTGACTACATCTAGCCACTTGCGTTGTCTCATGCTCAGGTTCGGCTAATCCATGATGTGTCTCAAACTCTTATGGTCCATGTATATGGTACACTGGACCCCATAGGGGTAATGTCTCCAAATCTTGAGAGCGAATACCACCGCTCCCAACTCCAGATCATGAGTGGGTTATCTCTTCTCGTGTGGCTTCAGCTGTCGTGATGCATAGGCTATCACCTGTCATCTCTGCATAAGGACTGTTCCTAATACGGTGATTGATGCATCACAGAACACCAAAAAATCCTCAACTCCCTCAGGGTTGTGTCAAAACTGGTCCCTCACACAGTCGCTGTCGCAAAGTCTCAAAGGTAGTCTTCTACTTAGGGCCCCACCAAAAATCCACCCCATTCCTCGTTAGATGAGTGAGGGGTACCACAATCTTGGAGAAATCATGTATGAATCTCCAGTAGTACCCTGCCAATCCCAAAAAGGCTCCTGATATCCGAGGGAGATTTCAGAATCTCCTACTGCATAATCGCCTTAATCTTAGCCGGATCGACCAAAATCCTCTCCTGGTTAACGAGGTGTCCAATGAACCGAGCCTCTCATAACAAAAAATCACACTTCAAGAACTTGGCATACAACCATTCTCACCTCAAATCTCCCAATAGTTCACGGAGATGCTCCTCATACTGCTCCATGGTCTTGGAATATACCAAGATGTCATCTATAAACACAATGACTGAGCGATCGAGCATCGGTCTGCATACCTGATTCCTTAGGTCCATAAATATTGTCGGCATGTTGGTGCGCCCAAATGGCATCACCACGAACTCATAGTGTCCATAACGAGTTCTGAACGTGGTCTTCTCCATGTCCTCCTCCCTAACTCTGACCTGATGGTAGCCAGACCTCAAGTCTGTCTTGGATAACCAAGATGCTCCCTATAACTAATCAAAAAGATCATCTATCCATGGGAGGGGGTAACGGTTCTTCACCTTCAACTTTTTCAACTCCTGGTAGTCAATTCACATTGGGTGTGAACCATCCTTCTTCCCCACGAAGAGTATAGGCGCTCCCCACGAAGAACTTATCAGAAGGATGAACTGCTGGCCCAACAGTTCCTGTAACTGAGATGACAGCTCCTGCATCTCAGGTGGTGCAAATCGGTATGATGCCTTGGCGATAGGGGCCGCACCTGGCACTAAGACGATCCCGAACTCGATCTGCCTCTTAGGAGGCACTCCGGGTAATTCCTTTGGAAACACGTCAACAAAATCTCGGACAACAAGGACATTCGAAACCAAAACCTGATCCCCAGCCCGCACACCCATGCTGAATATACTGTCGATCCCTGGCAGGTGAGCAAAATCCTGAACCTAATCTGGTGTCCTCGTCGTATGTAATTAGTTCTCCCCCACTTGGTGTTCGAACTACCACACGATGACCCTCGCAGTCGATCATGACACCAAAGAGACTCAACCAGTCCATACCCACTATCACACATACATTTTCCATGGGAATCAGAATCAAGTTTATCGGGAAGGATACTTCGAAGATCTCCATAATGTAGCCCAGATAGACTAAAGAAACAAAAATCCCATGTTCGTTGGCGATAGAGACTCGCAACGGATACTCAAGATCTCCTGTAGGGAAATCGAACTCCCTACTGAACGATTGAGAAACAAATGACCGACTCGCCCCAAAGTCAAATAATACCAATACATGTAAGGAGTTACTAAAAACGTACCTACCATAGGTACAACACATAAACATAAAACAGATATAATCAATAAGATAAAAGGATGGAAACATACCAGTCACCACATCCGGTGTTGTCTTGGCCTCCTTGGTTGTAAGCTGAAAGGCACGCCCCCGAGCCTTCGGAGACTCTGCTCTACCCTGACCCCCATCATTAATCTTAATGTGGTCGGGCTAGAGCCTACACCGGCCTGGGAGCTAGTAGGGGATACTGGGCCTTCATATGGCCCTCCTGCTCACAATGGTAACAAAGTCTGACCCTCAAAGCTGGAGTCTATTGCCTATAATCTCCTGCAATGTGGCCATGCTTTCCACACTTATGGCACCTGTTACCTGATCGAAAAGCCCCAGAATGAGCCTTCCCACACTTCCCATAAGTACGGCCGGGCTGATCTCCAGACCTAGAATCAGCGGTCTTGGACCGCTTCGGTGTTGGCTGCGATTGTGTTGGGGCATGTCTCTGCTCTCTCAACTGCAGCTCAATCTCAACCTCACGCCACCTAGCAGCCTCCTGTAACTCCAACAAAGTATCATACCGTTAGGTAACAATGAACTATCTGATGTCAGTCTTGATCATGCTCAGATAACGAGTCATCTGAGCCTGCTCGGATGCAAACTCCAAGCAAAACATCGCCCTCTTAGTGAAGATGCAGGTGATCTCCGTCACTGTCTCCGTACCTTGTCTCAGATCCAAGAACTCATGTGACAAACGCTACCGCATTACCCGCAGAATGTAGCGAGCGTGGAACATCTCTCTGAACTAATCCCAAGTAACCACCGCTCACTGCTCATCAGAATATCACCCCATCATCAATCTCCACCAGTCCTTTGCATCGGACCTTAGCAGGTTCAAAGCACATTTGACCTTCTGGTCAGCAAGACATGAGCACGTGAAGAAACATCCCTCCACCTCAGATAGCCACCTCATGGCTATGATCGGGTCCTGAGTCCCATCAAAATTCAGGGGCTTTGTGTTATTGAAGTCTCAGTACTGAAAAGTCCGACTTATCCCCATTCCTACATCCGCTACGGCTGCGGAGGCTGCAACAGCTGCATTCTCAACAATGGTTGTGTATCTGTCATCAAAATACTCCATCTTGACGACCTTGATAAACCCAAACATCTTCAAAATTTGACCCCGGACAATCTTCACCACCTCCTACCTGATGATCTCCCTGACGCGGTCCTCTGTCAATGCTGGCCTATCCTGGTTGCCAGCTCCTGATCCTACCCTAAGCCCTTAATCAGACAAGAACATGAAATAAGGCCAAACCAAACATTCTTAGGCTATAATATCTTAATTATTTACAACTATGATGCATACACTAAGCAACTACAGTAATGATGTCGATTTCATATAAGGAAATCCTAGGCTATCAGACATCATATAATCAGGAAATTATATCATGGAATTTATGAAGATCCCTAGTCTATAACTAGCATGTTCTTCTAACATATGACAACATCAAATATACATCAAGTATTTTGGAGTCTACTTACTGGCTCCGGTTGATCGTACACTCTTCATCCTCCTTTAGTACGTTGAAAATCATTTTGAAAATCCTTTCCTTAGTTTGAGAGTGGATTCACATGAGTGTTCCTCCAATTCACTCAAACTAAGGCTCTGATACCAACTTGTAACATCCAAAAAAATTCACAAAAATTTGAACTTTTCAAAATCAACCCAAGTTCATAAATTGTTTTCAAAATCATCCAAAACCAGTAATGTTTACAAATTGTTTTCAAATAAATCAATATCAGAGTTTCCCTAGAAATCAAAATCATAAAACGAGGAAGTGTACGGTCACCACTTTGCATTCCCGCGGTCATCCGAAGTACCTAAAACAAAATCCAAAACTGTAAGCCCGAAGCTTAGTGAGTTCCCCTAAAATACCTGCATAACAAATAACACACGTATAATAACAACATACTGTAGGCCCAATCAACCATCAGGTTGGAATGCCCCAAGCCCTTAACCATCAGGTTGGAATGCCAACATACTATGGGTCCACTCATCCTCGGGATGGTATACCCTCGGTCCACAACAATCGAGTTGGAATGCCCATATACTACGAGTTCAATCATCCTCGGGATAGAATATTCTAGACCCACAACCATCGGGTTGGAATGCCCTTGTCTGTTGGCTCTCGCACAAAGTAGATAAGCCTCAACCACGATTAAATCATGTGCACATATATCAGATAATCATATAATAATCGACAAATAGACAAACCGATCTACAGATCACTAAGCTAGCAACATCCTTTCTACCAGGATACCAATCTAACTAATCATAACCACATAGAACCATCCTATCTCCCAGAATACCGATCTAACAGATCACAGTAATAATAAAGCAGGATAACAATCCTAATGGTCGGCCTTGGTGCCTTCAACCCTTGAGCATAGTGAGGAAAACTCACCTCACAATGTCGGTCGGAACTGAAATATCAAACTCTCGAAACACGGCTCCAAACACCAACACCTACAAACACCATTGATCCAATTACATAAATTCCCAAATTACCAAAATACCCTCATAAGTCAAACTTGGTCAACCCTTGTTCAAATCAAAGTCAACGGTCAAGATTAATAGTCCATATTGACCCAACTCGTCAAGTGCAACTTATAGACTCGTCGGGTTCCTTCAGAACTCAGAAAGTCGTGAAAACCCAGTCAACTCGCCGAGTTACCAAGTAACTCATCGAGTCCATGCAGCATCTAGAATATCGGGAAAACCTTAACCAACTCATCGAATCATCTTGTTAACTCGCCGAGTTCATGCAGAATCCAGAAGCAGGAAAACTTTATCCAACTCATCGAGTTGACTATGCAACTCGTCAAGTTCCTTCAGTACTTTTCTCATTCAAACGTTTCTAAGAGAAACCAAGACTCCAAACTGTAGATCTAAACTCCTAGGGTGTAGTTATCACGTAAAGTTGCTAACTTTACGTGCCAACAAGGCTTCAAGAAGCCAAAACACTCAAAACTAGCCTTAGGAAGAGGTTTAGGGTAAGCAGAAGGGACAAAGCTTCATAAAGCTTGAGGCTTTATGTCAAAGAGGGCCTAGATCTGAAGTTACAACTTCAAATCGTGCTCAAAATCAGAAATGCTTCAAAGATAAGCTAGAAATGGCCCCAAACTATTGGATGAATAGATCTATTAAGAGAATGATCAAGGTAATGACTTTTTACCTACGAATGGATGTCAAAAATGATGTAGATGTTGGATATACAAGCCCCTTCTTGTTCGAAGCTCCTAGCTCTTCAAACCACTTCAAGGAATGCACCAAAAACACACTTTTAGCCTTACACACTCTCAAAATAAGGTTAGATCGATTAGGGTTTGTTTCTGGACATGAAAATGTGGTAAGGAGGCTGGAATGAAGGACTTAAGGTCCTTTAAATAGGGTGCAAAAACCAAAAAATTAGGGTTTTCATGCACAACCTCTACTTATTGAGTTGGGGTTCTCCAACTCGTCGAGTAGGTTCCATAAACGACGTGGTCATATCCATCTCTACACGACAAGTTGGGGCAGCTAACTCGTCGAGTAGGTCTCTAATAATGAATATAATATTTTAAAATCTATACCTGTGAGTTGGAGTGTTACAATTGGTGTTGTATAAGATTGTTTCCTAACTACTGAATCTACTTATATATTGAACGGCTAGGGTTACTAAAACACACGGATTGCTACTTGAGTGTTAACGTCGACAACAATTTTGTTCGACTTGATGTCGCCGCTAATACTCTTAATTCTTGTAGTGTGTACTTATTTGATTTTTTTGGTACAAACGAAATCATTTTGTCTTTTTGCTTCCTATTCGCTGTTTTAACTTTTCATAATATATTTTGTCACAAACATGATCCCCATATTCCAATAACAAGCCAAATGATTGTAGCAACCATGCATGGACAAAAACCCAACTTTTGTACGATGGGTTTACCTTTATAACTTCTAAATGCCATTTTATCTTTTTTTGTATGATTTCATAATGATGCATCCTTTTTTTCTTTTAATTTCATGGTACTTTATTTTATCATGGACATGAAAACCCCGTTATATTTCTTCTTCATAAACTCTCATGTTGGAATTTGGCCATCTGGGAAAGGTGGTGGACAGCTTCAACCAAATGATCAAGGCGAGCCACAAACTCTATTAACAGTGAAGTAAAAGTAGCAAGTGACAGTGCTGCAGTGCTCTCCCATGAGACTGAGAGTATCCTTTGGGAGTTCATCTCACCTTCTTCTTCCTTCTCTTTTTTAAACTCAGCCAGCTGGTTTGACTTTGATAAACCATTGATAGGGAGTGGGATTGATGAGTTATGATCAGGAATTTGATAACTAGATGCAAGAAGATACGCATGTGTTTCTATTGCTCTTTGGAGTCTTTCAGATGAGCTGTGTACGCTTCTCACTAAAGTAGATTTAATGGTCTGCTTCATGTCATATATATCTTTTCCCAGACATCTCATCAACTCTGCAGCCTTGTGTGTTGCTTCTGATATCTCTGTTTTGAATATGGATCTTAAATTATATGGTGCCTATAAAACAACAATCAAAAGAACAAATTAGGTACACTTCTTTATTCCATCTCTTTTACAACCTGTACGCCTATATAGATTGGAAAAATAGAAAGAGAAGACAAGTAAATGGTTCAAAAAGTCGACTACTCAAAAAGAACCTGAATTTCTGAGTGAAGAACGCCATGCAGTGCCATCACCTCATATGCACAATATCGTAAGGCAGCGCCAACTTTGACATATTCACTCCATGGATAGAACAAGTGCCGGAACCTGCCATGTGGTGGCTCCCATTTAGCCGAAAGAGCCTAATTAATTATTCACCACCCAAACACCAAGGTAATCTGTTAAGATCACATGCATGGGAGAGAAAAACGAAATTTCATAAATAAAATTAAAAAAGAAGCATGATATATCTCACCAAGGACTCGAGTTTAGCTGATGAGTTCAGTGTAGATCGGCATTTTTTGTATTGAGGCTCGTCTGGGAATTCGTCCATGAGAGTATTGGTGACCTCTGAATGATCTGATCCATCATTGCTTAAGTACTTATTCACACATTCTGAAGTTATATCCAAAATCTAAGCTTTTAGCAATTCTTCATATAGAATAGGAGCATAAGATGTAGAGATGTTAATTAAAACATAAAAGTTACCTTCAAGTGAATCTGCTACTGAATTGAAGCTTTTGACAAGTTCCTTATGCAACTGCTCACCAGCCCATATAGGGAAAATCAAAGTATTCACTGCTATTGCTATAATTGCACCAATAGCGATTGAGTAAAGTCGTTCAATCGATGTTCTTATTGGATTCCCTGTTCGATACCCCGAAACTATGATCAAACAGTATGTAAATAGTATAACTCGAAATCCATATTCATATGGCACAAAGGTTGGCCATAACTTCATGAATGAGGTTACACTCCCTGTCAACATGCATAAAACTAATTTTATAATATATATATATCAAATTAGATAGTCTTGATGAATACGTTATTTTGTTTATTAGTTTACCTATGATGAATATACTGATGCCCTATAATAATGGGTTCAGCAACTGGGCCACTCATCAAAGCTAATTCAGCAACAGCAATGGCTAACACTCCAGCAAACAAGCTTCCGAGCACACGGTTGAATCCTTTGTGAAATGTTGCACCTTGAACAATTCATAAGCAAGATCATGCATGCACAAGAAAGTTATGTTTTACTTACTTGTTATATAACATATATTTGCATCTAATTTTACATGAAGTTTTAGGTTTCTTTTTCCTTTTTAAGTATACAGATAATTAATACATACCAACAGTATATTCAAACATGATGGCGACTGTGAGGATGGACCAGATAATGCTGGTGCTGAAGACTTGATAAGGTGCTTGGAGTAGTATGAGTAAAGACACAAGGAGAACAGCAAGCCCAACTTTTAACGAGAATGTAACTCTGTTAGTGTCTTCTTTAGCAAATTCCCATATCTTATACATCCAAAACTTTGAATTTGTTTCTGGTTTCTGGCAGTTTACCTTCAACGTCATTATTGGATGAGATTTTGATTCCAAAACTGCCCTCCTTTCCGTTCATTCTCAAACTCTTGTTATGAGTATTTCAAGAATATTGAAAGGTGTGAGGTTTTGGAATGAAAGAATAGAGTCATTTAAAGACCAATGTGGCTTAGCTAATTGGAACTAAAGAAAAAGAATAATACTTCATTTATACTATACAAGTAAATACTTAAACATAATCCTTCTTTCGTTGAAAAGAATTAGAATCTAATGGGGAACAAGATAAAAAATTCTTAAACATAATCCTCGTATTCTTTTTTGAGTTTTGAAAGTTCTTGATTAATTATGTTGTTATTACGTATTCATTTTAAGATCGAATAAAAGCGTAGCCCCTACATGTTCTTTAATATACCATTTCAAGAAATCTTGATACTGAAGTTTCTACTAGTCCTGCGAATCAGATTTCCTCATGCAGTTAATGTTTTCTGGTACAAGGTGAATAAGGGCCCTGAAAATATCTGCGAATATTATATATATATATATATATATATTATATATATATATATATATATATATATATATATATATATATATATATATATATATATATATATATATATATATTAAAAAGATTGAATTTTGGCATCTTTAAGAATATTACATCTCTAGGTTTCATGCAACTTTGGTGAGGGATGCATGCTCACACGTTTGAGGTATGCAACTAGGCATGTATCTTCTGATTAATCTTATTCCAAATGTCACCAAGGAACTAAATTAATGCTTGACACCACAAGTTTATTTTAGTGATCAAAAATCTAAAATAACCATTGATACATCAACATTTGAAATGATTAGTGATTACTATGGGGAGATAGGTAATTTGTAGAGTTTTTTACGTGGCATATACTTTTTAGCAACTCTGAACAGGCATAACGCAGCTATTCTCTATCAACCCTGTCCACATCCACAGATTTGGTACCATTCTTTATCTTGTTTCAATTTTGTAGGTCCCATTTGCATATGTTAAAAATCGAGAAAGTTAAATGAAAACGACTGAGTGGTCTCGTTCACTAACAACTTCCACAATTATTCTCACTGTTTAAAATATATCTCGACACCCTTTTCACTTTTCAGTTGATCGAAGCTAATATTCCGTACTTGATTCTTCTGTTCAATGGAGGTTTTCCTTTTCACCATTGGCTGCTCGTGTAGGTGACAATCAGATGTTGTATTCCTTTTTCTTGGTCTAACCATTTTTGTATACTTTTCCAAGTATTTCCAACACTTTTTTCGAATAGATTTGAAGAGATGCTGGAATTTGTTTGGGTAGAGAAAAAATAGAAACTCTTCTCATCAGCCAGTGGCACCAGCATATATTCCAGGACAATTTCCTCAGAGTGTTTGAGGTACTTTTTCTCTTCGTTTGTTTTTACTCCTGAAAAAATAAGCTCCATGTGAGGAAGATCTTCCCAATTTAAGATTGGTGTCAGTGAGCTTTTGATTTCTTTGACATGTTTTCTCTCTAGATCTGCAACTTGGAATATATGCATATAGCTTGGTCTGAATTTCATCTAAAATTTCATCTGATTTCTTGAAAAAGTGTAGATACCTTACCATTATTATCCTGCATGACGAGTCAACAAAGAGCAATTCTGGAAAAGGTATATGATAATGCCAGATCTTGTGTCGACTTTTAGCTAGGTTGTATTTGAGAGGGTTAAAACGTATGGTCTTTTGAAGGGTCATCTAATATATACTTGCTACATTTACCTATTGAATTGGGTATATACGTTGCTTAAGATCTGATTTAGTAATGATTTTCCCCATCTCATTCATACATTAGCAAAGGCTTACATAAAAGATACAATACAAAGACCATGAGCCGACATATACAAAATAAATACAATAGGAATATACAATTGAACTAATAAAGGTACATATATAATAACCTTAAATAGAGGAGATATCGGCTCACATCCCCCCGCAGTCCAATCGGGAGATCTCGAGCAAACGTCCAGACTAGATCTGAAGTCAAGGAACAAGGAAAATGGTAGACCTTTAGTGAATATGTCGGTATACTGAGACGATGACGGGACATGAAGGACACGAACATGCCCAAGGGCAACTTTGTCTGGAACGAAATAAATCTCAATCTCTATGTGCTTCGTGCGTTGATGTTGAACCGGATTAGTGGATAAGTACACCGCACTCTCATTGTTGCAATAAACAAAGATGGCTGACTGAGGAGGGAAGTGTAACACCCAAAGTAGATTGCGTAGCCATGTAGTTTCAAAAATTGCATTGGCAACGCCACGATACTCTACTTTTGCACTGGATCGAGAAATAGTAGTTTGTCGCTTCAATGACCATGACAAAAGGTTATGGCCGAGAAAAACACAGAGGTAGAGGTGGAGCTTCATGAAGTAGGGAAACCGGCCCAATCAGCATCAGAGTAGGCAGTAAGACTACGAGTAGGGGAAACATAGAGTTGAAGACCAAAGTTGAAGACCGTGATCCAGTCTGCCCCGTAAGTACCAAAGAATACGTTTGAGAGCCGAAAAATGAGGCGCTTTAGGATCATTCATATATAAACAGACCTGTTGGACAGCATAAGTGATGTCGGGTCTAGTAAATGTCAGGTAACCATGATCGTGGTGTCTGTTTGAGGCCATAGAGGGACCTCTGAAGGAGGCATACATAATCTGGATGACTTGTGCCACAAAATCCTGGTGGCTGATGCATATGTAACATCCCCCTCTAACACGTATCACAATATTGTCCGCTTTGGGTGTGACATCCCCAAAATCACGGCCAGTAAAGACCGATTTTGTTTATGCTTTATAAAAATCAGAGTACTTCATTTTATAAAAAAAGGTTGCGGAATTTGTTCCCAGAAAGACATGGTAAATACATTATTAAAACATTTTCGAGGAAACGTATTTATTTCATTTTAAAACGTTTGGGATGTCATCGTTAATACCGAAACATAAGCATAAACAGAACTTACAATGATTTACACTAGTGATCTATATCTCTTTAAATCTCTCAGTGTAATGTCACTTCACTTCATCACCTGTGATATACATAAACTGAGTGGGTCAGGTTGGGAAACCTGGTGAGTACATAGGGTTTTCAACCCACAATAATATAATTGTTATGTTTAATCATCAAACAATTAACCCCATTACCCATCCCCGTTATCTTCTTTACTCTTAAGGATTTAACCTAAGAGTCGTCTATCCTGCATTTGTTTATTCTGAAGTCCCTTACTTCCAGGGTTATAGGACTGGCACTAAATCCATAGCTGCCGATGTTAGTTCGTAAAGCACTAATTCCATAGCTGCTATATCCTACTCATCGGGTACTAAATCCATAGCTACCAGTGTTCAACAGGTACTAAGTCCATAGCTACCAATTCCTACAGGTACTAAATCCATAGCTACCAGCGTCTAACTAATAGGTACTAAGTCCATAGCTACCAATTTCTAACAGGTACTAAATCCATAGCTACCAACGTCTAACAGGTACTAAGTCCATAGCTACCGGTGTTTGTCCCATAGGCACTAAGTCTATAGCTGCCAATGTATACTCACGTCATCTTCTATCTCTCATCATTCATCTACCCATCATCATACCCAACATATTCGTATATATAAAATACGTATACAGTTTAAATCCTTTAAAACATGTATAAAACGTTCATCCAGCATAGACAGCAAGTATTCAGATAATATGCACACATAGCACGTAATTTATATTAAAATACTTCATATCTATGTGTAAGATGAAAGGGACCATGCACTCACCTGATTAGGTGGTGACTCAGCACTCGGACAGCGCTTCGATACTCTCACAACGATTTTCCTTCGATAAAACCTAGTATCGATGCCACTAGGGTTTAGTCTAATGATAACCGCAACAAATTATTTGTCTGACTATTATTATTATTATATAAGCGTTAATAACGCTCAATATAACTCATAATAATATCCCAAATAATTATTTTAAGGACCTAATAACATTCCTATATTAAAACATAAGCTAAACTAAAGATAGGTTAGGCGTAGCTCACTTACAGCGGATTTTCTCGAAAACCGGGCTTCGCTGGAGCAGCGTTCCCGAGCCGAAAGGCTCTTTTCTCGGGACTCCGGGAGCCTCGGGGCTTCCTTCGGGTGCTAGGGGGTTTACCTAGGCTTTTAGGGGGGTTAGGGGGCTAGAGAGAGAGAAAGAATAGTTTAGGAAGGTGTGAAGAATGAGGGAACCCGACACCTCTATTTATAGGGGAGGAATTGGGTGGACTCGTCGAGTCTGAGTCATGACTCGTCGAGTCAGTCCATGTGGTGGCCTTCTGGTGGTGCCACGTGTCCAATTCTGGTGGTGCCACGTCACCCCCTATCGCGTATCAGCCTTCAAACTTAGAAAAATCATAACTTTCGCATACGAGCTCCGTTTTCGATGTTCTTTATATCCATGCGTAGGTAAAATCAAGATCTACAACTTTCGTTTAGACTCCATCGGCTAATTCTCAACCGATCTCAAATTTAACAGTAGGAGGCGTTTAGACTGTTAAATGGCCGCGAAGAGTTCATAACTCCTTCATCCGGACTCCGTTTTCGTCTGTCTTTTTACCGTTGAGTTCCTATTAATGAGATCTTCAACTCTCATTTAGGTCGCGTAAGCCAAAAACCACTCGAACTAAAATTCGAGTTTCGGGCTGTACACTGCTAAGCCGAATCTTAGAAAAATCATAACTTCTTCATACGAAGTCAGATTTGGGCGTTCTTTTTATCGACGCTCTTAGTTTAACATTTTCTACAAATTTTGTTTAGATTGCTAAGGCTAAATCTCGCTCTATCGTAAATTCACTATTTACGTCTCCCGGTGCCGTGCCGGTTTTGCCGTAAAACTTCGGCGGGCCATAACTTCTTCGTTATAACTCGGATTTTGGCGTTCTTTATATGTACGGAAAGCTTGTGACATATTCTACAACTTGGTTAAGATTATTTATCCTAAATAATCTTTTGTCGAAAAGTCATTTTTGACCCTTATTGCCTCTAAATTGACTAGCCCGGATCTACGGGCGTTACATTGGGCTCCCGACACGAAAACTTCCCAGGGGGTCACCCATCCCTGAATTGTTCTCACCCGAGCAAGCTTAACTGCAGATTTCTTACAGGATCTGCTGCCCTCACGGCTTTAAAACACATTGTGATAAGGAAGGTATCCACACCCCTTTATAAGAAAGTTCTTCATTCTCCTTTCAAGACGATGTGGGATCAGGTGCAACCCACCTTCACCCTTCATTATAGGGTTCGATGTCCCCATCGAACACATCGACCCATGCCCTAGCTCTGATACCATTTCATTTTTAATTAAGTAATTTATAAAGACGGTAGGCTGAAAACATCAATAGTGTCATCCAAATCATAATCAAACCCAAGTGTCAAAAACCACAACATGTCATAGGAAAATAATATCAGAGTACAATCCCCAAGAATCTCATAATGCGGAAAAATCATAGTGTAATGTGTTGCGATCATGCCGGCTTTCCTTTTGAAGAAGAAGTACCTGAAACAAAAACTGAAAACCGTAAGCACGAAGCTTAGTGAGTTCCTCCATCATACCACATAATCGCATACTGCCATGCATATTTGGGTGCCCGTCCTACCCTGTCGAGCATATCTTGGTGCCTTACTTACCCTATCAAGCATATATGGGTGCTCGACCTACCCTGTCAGGCATATCTGGGTGCCTGACCTACCTTCCAGTGTATTTCTATCGGTTACAGGGTCTATTTCACCCCTTACCACTACCACATAATAACATAGAATACAAGCACATAAATCTCAAAATCTAGTGGCATGCCAGACAATTATCACAAAGACAATCATATCTACTATAAAAAAACTACTAGTGGGTTGTCATTGGTGCCTTCGACCCACTTATACAGGGAAGGTGACTCACCTCGAATATTGGACAGTAGCTTAATAGTCCCCGGCTCCAAATATCAACCCAACTCAATCCCCTAAACATAAAAGATTTCAATAAGCACCCTTTAAGGGTCAACTTTGGTCAAAGTCAAAGTCAAAGTTAAGCCAAAGTCAACGCTTCGAGTTGACTCAACTCGTCAAGTTGCCCTTCAACTGTCGAGTTTCCATGAATCACAAAATCATGATATCACGATCCAACTCGTCGAGGTTTCCTACAACTCGTCAAGTTCTTACTTTTCAACAAAATTGGGACTTCTCAATACAACTCGTCGAGTTCTTCTGTGAACTCGTCGAATTCTTCAGTCTGCTAACCCTTCTTAATGCATTAAGCCATTATTCTTCAGATCTACACCCTATACTCCAGATCTAGACTGGAAATGCCTCTAGAATGGTAAAGTTTCCAACTTTACCCATTAATACCTTTCCTAAAGAGATTAAGCTGAAACCCTAACCCAAAAAGGCCAAAGTCTTAATCCAAAAACCACCAAAATTACAAGATAGATCATGAGGTCATAGATATAGGCTCTAGGGACAAAAGATCACGTAAAGTTCTAGCTTTCTCTATATGCATGGCCATTAGTAGCTCCAAAAGGCCAAAATGATGCCTAAAGGTTGCATGGGACTCCCATGGCCATAAAGTTGGCACCTTGATGCCATGAAAACCCCTCAAGACCCTAGATCTGAAGTGTTAACCCATTTGGGACGTCCAACTACCACGGACCATGATATTTAGACAAAACCAAACAAAATAACCCTAAAAGAAGATCTAAACAACTACAAGGCAAGGTTCAAGCTTTATACCAGAAAAGTGTCGTGGATGAGGCAAGGATTCTGGATCTATAAGCTCCTTCGTGGGCCTTCAAGCTTTTCCTTCTTCCAATGGCTTCAACACACACCAAAAACACCCAAAATGGCTCACAATCACTCAAAGTAGCTTTAGGGTTTCAAGATTTAGGGTTAGGACAGTAGAGGCTGGAAAATGAGGCCAACACCTTGGGGTTAAGGTGTTTAAATAGGGTACAAACCCCTGGAATTAGGATTTCATTTTACCCAGCCAACTCGTTGAGTTGAGACCTCCCAACTCGTCGAGTTGGTCACCAAAATGCATTGTCCAAAATATCTCTACTCGATGAGTTTGGGGCCTCCAACTCGTTGAGTTTCTATATCAAGTTGAATAATTATAAGTTAAATACATAGCATGAACTAGGCATTACAATTCTCCCCCACTTGTCTCAGACTTAATCCTCGAAGTCCGTTATCTTAAATAATCTTGGATAATGCTACCTCATCTCCTCCTCTAGCTCCAATGTCCACTCTGACCCCTTACAGTGCAACCACTGCACCTTCATTTACTGCAAACCTTGTTCCTCGAGATCTTTGTCTTCTGATCTAGAATCGTCACTGGCTTCTCAATGTAGTTCAGTCGGTCA